GAGAGAGAGAGAGATGTTAGATTCTGTACTACATACAGTACAAGCATTTGCATGCGGTAATTTAGTTTTATCCAGGCTTTATAACCATGATCCTTATGACTAAGAGAAGATTTGTCAGGTTACTGACTGGAAAGGGAGTGACCTGGAGCTTGCAGCAGACAAGTTGCAAAGGAGGGTGATCTTTCCTGTTGGTGGTATACTTGTTACAAATGGTGCTTTGCATAACCATATTCTTCAGATGATTTCAACAGACTCATCCCGTGTATGATGAATGAATATTTTGTGTTGTAAGCAATTGCCGTTAGTGTCATCTTATTCTTCAAATAAATTTGGTTGATTCACATGCTGTATGCTAGCTGGCAATACTCAGTTACATTTGAGTATAATGGAATTGTTTTATAACGTTTACATCTATGGCTAGAAACAGTGATTTAAAAAGCGGACTGCCCAGCACTTGGGCGGCCGCCAGGCGATCTAGAAGTCTTGGGCACATCGCCCAGGCCTAGGTGGATATCCCTGGGCGTCCGAGAACACACCTAGGTGACCGCTTGATCATGCCTAGGCGGCCCGCCCAGGTGGCCTCCCAGGGGCGGAAATACCCTCGTTAAGGGCATTTTTTGATATATTTTTAATACTAAAGGGAAAACATTGTGGGTTTTAGGTTCATTTGATACCTAAAATCCATTAGAGCCTATTTTAGAGGGACAAAGACCCCAAATTTTTTTTCTTTCTACTGGGCTGTCCAGGTTCTGGGCACTTGCCAAGGCATTGGGTGGCCTGGACCCCCTGGCTGCCTAGGCACCGCCTAGCTCTGTTGAAACATTGGTTAGAAAATCAAATTATGAGAAGGGCCTGCCTAGGCATTGGGTGGCTTGGACCCCCTGGCTGCCTAGGCGCCGCCTAGCTTTTTTTGAAGCATTGGTTAGAAAATCAAATTATGAGAAGGGGGGGAGATTTGGAGATAGAAAATGCCTACCTAAAGAGCCAATACTTCGAAGCAGTGTTTAAAATAGCCCTGGGTGGGATCGGAATTGCCCGATCAAGCCCGTGAATCGTTGAAGACCGTCCCGATTAACTAATGGTACTTGGAACTACACGGCTGCCTCTCGAACCAGCTGGTTCTATCAAGGAGCTGGTTCTGTCAGAGAATCTAGTGATTTGGCCTGGTATACTTTGTGTATTTTGTATTATTTTCAATTTCTTTTTTCTTCAAGTTTTTTTCATTTGTTATTAGCCGATTCTCTCAGTTGAATCGCTGATCCAAATCAGGGAGCTGGCCTCACTTCTCAGGTGGCCAATGCACCCAACTGATCAAGGTTTTTAAACTTAGATTTGAATCTTTAGTTGCATGAAGGTGTAATCTAAGTCACTTGACATGCACGAACAATAAGAACATATAGTAAATAGAGTCCAATGCAAGGGAGGAAAATATGATCTCCTAATTGGGTAGGGCCGAGAAGGTCAGGATCCACTTAGATCGGATCCGGATCCAAATGTAGATTAGGGTCTGATTGGATCCAGAATGTTTGGATCCGGAATAGGTCTTATAAAAGTTTAAAAAAATTTATGTATATAAAAATTGTATATATTATATATATAAATTAATAAATATATAATTTTACATATAATAATATATACTATTTTAAAAATCGGGTCGGATCCACTTGTACGCTAATTTGATCCGAATTACTATTTGGATCTAAATTTTGGATCCCGATCCGAATTTCGAATCCAAATCTGGGATCCATACTTGGATCTGAATAGGATATCAAATTCGGGTTTCGGATCTGGATCGATACATTCTCAACCCTATAATTGGGAGTTTCTCCAGGGGCAGATTTGATAACTAGAATCTGGGGATTCCCTGGAGCCTGGAAGTTCTAGTTCTTTAGATGTGTTAACTGTTGATATTTGTATACTTATTAATAACCTATTTGAAATTCTCAGTTATAGAGATCAGGCTTCACAGTGCTGTAATGCTTCACAGAGAATTAGGTCCTGACTTTAGAGAGAGAGAGAGAGAGAGAACAATTACAAAGAGATTGCTTACCTAGAGAGGACACGGTTGGAGAGAGAAATAACACATTTAGAGAGAGAGAGAGGGGGTAGAGAGACAAATGACATTGTTTGAGATAGGACTTATAGAGAGATAAAGGACTCATTTAGAGAGAGAAAGGGATTATAGATAAAGGGAACGATGAGAGAGAGAGGAGAGAGATAGAGAGAGAGAGATTGTTAGAGGCAAGGGATAGACAAAGAGGGTGTTGTTAGAGAGAGAGAGGGCATGGTTCGAGAGAGGACTTAGAAAAAGGCATGGTTGGAGATAGAATTTCGAGAGAGAAAAAGGGCAGAGAAAGGTATTAGAGCGGGAAATGGCTCATCTATATAAAAGAGTTAAGAGAGGGCACAATTTGAGAGGGGAGTTAGAAAAATGTGTGGAGAGAGAGAGAGAGAGAGAGAGAGAGAGAGAGAGAGAGAGAGAGAGAGAGAGAAGAAACGAGAGAGTACTAACTAACATATAGTAGTACGTACTACTTACTTTACTTTACGTTACGTACACGTAACTAACTAACTACGTACGTACTCGTGTACTCTACTTACTACGTAC